GACGCTAATGTGCAGTGCTAAACTGTAGTTGTCACTTAGTAAACGGTATATTGTGTATTTCTGCAAGTCATGAGGAACTATGTCTTATCTGCCATATGCTTCTGGTGGCCTACTCCTGTATTGACCAAACAGACAAATGCACTTGGGCACCACTTATTTGGAACACCGTATCAGAGTCGGTCATGAGGGATTTACTCCGCTGTTGCTCCACATTGCTATTATCGGCAGCTATGGTTACGCATTAAAAGCAAAGGGATGTACCGTCTCTAGTTTCACTTGCTGTCTTATTCTTCCAGTGGTGCTTTTTGTGCTTCCAGTTATCCGCGTCTACTGCTTCATTACGGCTGTGTCAATGTGCTTCTGTGTGGTTCTCTTGGGAAGATGTGTGGATGCGTCTTTCGTTTTGTGTGTCGTTGACTTTCTATTGACTTTTCGAATCGGACATTGGGTTATTTGATTGTGTAAATGTGAACTCGAAGCGTCCATATTAGGTTTCTCTTACTCAAAAGTGTATTGTGTGTTTCGTAGACAAAGCTGTGAAACCCAACGAAGTTTCTTGCACCAAGCATTTGTTTAACTGGAGAGGTTAACTTTACAAGGGACAAGCGTGTTTACTTACTAACTTTTTAGAGCTGAGCCCTTCTTGAGAAGCCGCCAGTTGTGCAGTTACTCAAGGAATTCCACTGCTCCCTAGCCTGAGACAGATGAATATTAATATTGCCCTCCGACTTACGTCTTTGTCCTCCTAGCGGTCTCTCGTCTTCTGGTTTTCCTACCAATATCCTATGTGCATTCGTCTTCGCCCCATTCCTGCTACATGACCTGCCCATCTCATCACTTTTGACCTAATTCTCATAGTACTTGGCGAAGAGTACAAGTTACGAAGCTCCTCATTGTGCATTTTTCTCCAGCCTCCCATCATAGAGCGAACGCGTGTACGGGAGATACGTTTCCTTCCCAAAACTACTAGACAGACTTCAATGAAAACTGGTTCTGGAGAATTTATCCCAAAATTATTTAGTGAATTTAATTTCGGTTCGTATCAGACCTATTAAAAATCGATATTTTAGTGATGCAGTTATATTTTTTGTTAAGAAGTAATTTTTCTTATTTACATCATCATTTGTCTCCAACTACGTTATTAGCCGTTTTACTTGAAGCTCGAATAAAATGTTATAGTTAATCTCAAAGCCACGGCCTTCGAAATAAATATGAGGTAAAGTTTTCTGTGTTTAATTACCACGCCATGAGGACGTCTGGGGGAATGGAGGAAGGTGTGTAGCTCCACGAATTCTTAACCTCGGCATTGGATTGAAATGAGCGGTCAACTTCACGCTTTGGCCTCTGTACACCCGAGTAACTAATACTGGTCACTGGGTGGGTCTCTGAGCCGGTCTGGACACTGTAGAGAAGGGAGAAATTATTTGCTCTGAGGAAGGTCCAGTTTGTAGCCTAGACACTATGCTGACTGAGCTATCTTGACAAATAATTTGTTGGCTACATGGCATAAAATGTGGATTTCATTAAGCGCTTACTTTAGATGCCTTCCTTCAAGGTGAATTTGTAACGAAGATCAAGTAATTTGAAATCCGTGCTGTGCGATTAGCTCTCCCGCTGTAATAACTCTGTGCTTGCGATAAGTGAACACAAGGTCAGTGAGGTGTGCAAAGTAGCCAGGAGTCTCGGAGAGGGGCCTGTTATTGTTTGTAAGAGAATGTGGCTCAGGTGTGTAGTGTACAGATAATGCGAGTAGTACACTCGTATTTATAAGGTTTATACATTTATCCACGTTGATTTTCGATGTGCTTAAGGCGGTAGCGTAGTCGGTTGAGGCACTATGCTACTAGCCGGAAGGTCGTGGGTTCAAGTCCCGATGAGGTCATTGGATTTTTTTTCAATTGACCTAATCCTCCAGCCGCACTATGGTCCCGGAGTCGACTCAGCCTCTAACAGAAATGCGTACCAGGAATCTTCCTGGGGGTAAAGGGCGGCCGGCGCGTAGGGCTGACAATCTCACCCCTGTGAGCTGATTGTCTAGAAAATGTGGGAACCTCAACATCTCACAACGCTATGGGCCTCCACGGCCTGTTACAGGGATAGCTTTACTTTACTTCTTAATATTTTCTGCTTTATGTGCGTTTTGTGTATATTTATAATTGATTCATTTATCCACATTTTCAACAGGTCAGAGTATAAAGTATCGTATGATAGGACGAATAATGTACGTATAAATTCATTGAAAATAGTAAGGAGACGGGCGTGGTATAGTTTAATCGGGAATGAATAGGCCGATAGTCCTAAATGTTGAAGTTGTTCATGACGATGGTTTTTGTTTCCTGAAAGCAGCCGACGGGCCGCCATGGAAAGTCCGGCAGACTGCGGTTTGCAAACCTGTCCTGTGCCTCGAACTACGAACCGGTCTTGTGCTTTATCACGTTCGCTGGCCTTAATTGAAATTCACCCATTTTGTTTTTCACAGGTTTCTCCTTCGCTAAATTAAAACTGACTGATGCATTCGATCTTGTCTTTTAATAAATGATTAATAATATCAATGATGATAATAATTAAAATAGATTCATTAATTGCTGTTTTATCATAATTATTGTGGGCACGCGATGGCCACTGCAACGTTGAGAGATCACAGCCTCTTGTGACCCTGTGAGTTCAGAAGGTTAACAAGGCAATTGCAGGCACTCGGGTCTCCTTCCTTTCTTATTCATTGCTCGTTGCTAGGAAACCGAGTTTTGCGAACTTACGAATTGACCCATACCGACGGGGGGTTTGGTCGTGATGTACTTGAGAAACTGAGTAATAAAACTAATCTAATTTATATTACTCGTATATTAGTATGTCTACGCATTGTGCAAGATTCTATTTATAAAAATACACTTATGGGATATTACGCCATCTAGTCTGGTAGTTGACCGCCTCTGTGGTCTGGTGGTCAGAGTTTCTGGCTATAGATCCGGAGGTCCCGGGTTCGATTCCCGGCGCTACCAGATTTTCAGAGAAGTAGTGGGTCTGGAACGGGGTCCACTCATCCTCGTGAAGATAATTGAAGAGCTACCTGAATGGAAAAGTAGCGGCTCCGGTCTAGAAAACCGATATTAACGACCGTGGTAGTCCGTTGTGCTGACCACGCGACACCCTCTATCTGCTAAAATTGGCACTAACTTCGCCGACAAGCGGCGGTCGCTCGGTCGGTATAGTTCGCTTGCGGACTGAAGCCGCGGAGTTAGTTTTCTTAGTCTGGTAGATATTTAAAAATTTTTTGGAGGAAATTGCTGCCTTCGTCTTTAAAGTGTGAGAGTAAGCCGCGGGGGGGGGGAAGCCAGAGTCACGTTAGGACTGACGGTGGTAGAGGCTTAAAAGTCGTGCTGAAGAGAATGACATCGGTGGGAAAAGTCTCACAATTTATGAACTTTAATGTACCCGTCTCCGTATTTGCCTCTCCTCCCGCAACTCCACATGTTTCTATCTACAAAAGTACTAGTCAGATTTCGATGAAATTTAGAATCGGTGGTTGCACCAAAAGTTATTGGGCAAATTATTTGACCCACATGGCCCGACATTAAGCCCTAATTAAATTGCTTCGTATTTTTAAGAATTTACCATACAAAGAATTGACAGATAACTTGAATTATAAATCTTGTTATAATCTACAACTTTTATTTGCAACGTTTTTTTATATGGCAGATGTTCAGCGAGATACAAGAAGATAAGTTAATGTGGACACAGAGTGAGCCTTTAGCGTTATGGGCTCTTCAGGTATAAGATTTTATATGAAATAAATAAACACAAAAGCAACTGACATATGCGAAATCGTAATGAACGTGTTCGGGAATATATCTCTACTTCGTACTGCGCGGTTGGCTCAGACAGTATAGTGAACAGGCTACGGGCTGGACGACCACAGAATCGTGGTTCAATTCTCTGAAGGGGAGACGGATTCTTCTCTTTACCATCATGTCCAGACCGGCTCCGGAGTCCACCCAGTCCTCCTCTCACTGACTACTGGAGACTCTTTCCCCGGGGATAAACCGGCCGAGGGGTGAACCTGGCAACTCACCTCCATCTCTTGCCAAGGTTAAGAATGGGCGTAGTAAGTTATACCTCTTCCGTGTAGCTTCATGGCTTGGTACTTAAGCGCAGGGACAACTTATACCGTACATACTTTTGCCTTTCCGGTACTGTTTACTTGCCACCACCTTCCCAGCCGAATCCAGGACCCGCCCAGTCGCTTATCCATTTCTTACAGGTTAAACGAAAGCATTCATTTTTTAAGGTCTGGATCTGGTGGTTAATTTGATAGTTGAATAAATGCCCCTCGCTTGTAGAACATACGCACTTCCATTAACATGTGCACGCATAAATACACACATACGTATGTGCAAGTCTCCACACATATGTATGTATACATGTGTGTCTTACCGCTGCAGCAAAACGTTAATTCTGACATGCATCTAGTTAATTTCGGTGCAACATTGGTCAGATAAAGAAGAATATTTCCATTTTAACACTTTTGACGAGCTAAAGACTTCTGTTTTCCCCGTATTGCCTTTTTTTTTTTAAATTCCCTTAGTGAATGGTGGATTCCAACCGTGTCCACTCGGCACGGCGGCCACTGATTGGCCTATTGTACATGCCCCGGGTGATTATGATGATGGAGAATTTGGTGAAATGAAGATTGGCAAGGGAAATCGAAGTACTCGGAGAAAACCTGTCCCAGCGCCACTTTGTCCACCACAAATCCCACTTGACCAGACCCGGGATCGAACCCGGGCCGCCGCGGTGGGAAGCCAGCGACTAACCTCTTGAGCTATGGCGCGGCCTTCCCGTCTTATCTTACTGCCCTATAATGGTTTATATTTATTTCTTCTGGTAACATTGGCGTTATGAAGGAAATTCTTTATATCTGTTAACTCGTACAGATGTACGGTGTTTGCAGTTTCGGGTTGTTAACTGGGCCTATAATGTGGTATGGATCGGTGTTTAATATTGTGGTACTGCCCACAATTCATAACCTGCCGCTAAGGGCGCTGTTCCGAATGCCATACGCCACATACATAGGACGACTACACTGCCACCGTTTACTATGTGTTGCGTTGCGGTCTCTATATTTGGAGACGCTATTTCCGGCCCTCATAGCTCCACGAACGAGTGCCCTGTGTGCCTTCGGAGCGCCAACAGTTCGGCATCATGGCCTCCTCTCTTGTGCAGTGATAGCAATGTAGTAATATCGTTGGTTAGCGGCATTACTGTGTTTGTTACTCGGTGCGTGTCAGATTTCTCTCTCCTGGTTTACCTCAGTGAAGAGCTCCTCCGTCCATCGCTTTTATTAGCTTACTATAACAACGGACTACATGATAGTAGTGTCTCCCTATGAGATATTCCACTTATGCTCTCGTTAAGAAGTAATTACATTCAGTAGACCTAATACGTAAACATGTGCTTTGTAAGAGTTTGGTTGGTCAGCATTTTAAGGTCTCATTTTGCCGTAGGATAGTACTCAAGGTGCATTTGTGGAAAGTGGAGGTGTGAATTAGCTTCTTGCAATGTCGTAGAAGTTATTTTCACAATTAGGAGGACGTGACGACCACAGTATATATATGTTTGTTTTGTGTGACAAGAAGTCGCTGTCCCCTGATGTCGTTATACCTGTCATGCTGCAGTTCACTCTCGAGCCCAGACGGCGGAAGAAGAAAATTAGCAACGGCCTTCTACTCGCGCGGTGAATTATCAGTGACAAGCAGTAGACCTACATTCCAAATGAAGGATTCGGACGTTTCTTACGCACTACAAGATTAAAGCTACTTGAAAAGATGAAGGAACGTAAATGGTGGAACGGCGTTCCCCGCGTTCCGTCTCTGTGGTGGCGTTCATCTTCTGTACCTCCCCGCCAGGAGTCTGACGATCAGCCTGGGCAGCATCGGACAAGCCCGAAGATCCGAGAGGAACCTGTCGCCGAGGAATGCAACAAGGCGCAGGCGCTGCCGGAGTCGCCCGACGGCGTGACGCCAGACGCTATCTTACGCTACAGTAAGACGGACACAGAACCTCGGTGTTCCGACGATGTTTTGGTGGCGAGAAGCGGCAGGCATAGCCTGGACGCGTCGGATCGCGTCACCGGAAAAGACTTGAGGAACTCAGTGCCTCGGGCATTGTCGACTCCGCCTCGAAGGAGAAAGGAATTTGTATTGGAAGGAATTCCAGATATCAGTTTCTCATTCTTCAACGATCAAGCGGTCCCCGTCACATCAGCGAGTGAGGCGTGTCTGCAGACCACGGAGCAGTCTTCAAGACATTCACCCAGTCGGGCGGAAGCACAAGTAATGGACACTTTTGTGACTTCGACCGGCGTCTCTGCTGTCATTGTTGGGGAAGACGTGAAGACGCCGAGTCAGGAAGGAGATTACGAGGTCTTGAGAACAGTGATTCCCGTAAATTCGACTCCAGCGGACGCCGTGCAGATCTCCATGGTCGCTGTGTTAAGTCAGGAACAACAGAGCAAGAAGTCACCTAACATTTCTTGCATCAACATAGTGTCCATCAATACGGCCGCTCAGCACGAGAATCAATATGCGTCTCCAAGGAACTCATCCTCCACTACCGAGGTTTCTGACCTTGTGCAGGATACGTACACAGCTCCGCCCAGTCCTTCTTCCCCTCATACTGTTCCTTCTTTCCAGGATACATCCTCCCCATTGCCTGATCATTTTTCTTCTGAATGTACTGTTCCTTCTTTTCAGAGCTCGCCCACTCCACAGCCCAACGTTTCCTCTATTGAGTGTACTAGTCCCTATTTCCAGGACTCGTCGATTGAAAACCCTTCCTTGGATGCACCCTCTCCTGACTGTGCCACCCCACCTTGTCAGGACACCCCTGCCGCCTCCACCATCACGATATCACTTCCGCTGCAGTTGACGGATCAGGCGGTCACGGGGTGCCATGACTGGGAAACGATCACGGACTACAGTGACTATTATGACATAACGTCAGTGTGCACACAGCGGCGGAAGGCGAACAGCGACTATGAGGATGTGCAGCAGGGGCAGAACTACTGCACCCCACGAGGCCGCCGCGCTACCCTCATGCGGGATCGTCGCCGCGGGATGGGCACCATGAGGACTCGTATCCGGCGAGCCTGGAGGGCGGTACGAGGGTGGTTGGGCGAGGAGAGGGTCCGTATAGGGGGTGTGATTCAGAGACATGCCCATGCACAGGCCGTGAGGAAGAGCGAAGACATTCAGCAGGCTGAGGAAGAGGACTCGAGGGTCGTAGTAGTGAGGACGCGAGAAGGCAGCAGCAGACCAACCTCACGAACAGGACCGCGGCGGAGCAGACACTTCCCCGAGGTAAAGCCTTTCTTTGCAATCGTGTGTTTCTTTCGTACCAGATGTGCTGCAGGCATGTCGTGCTTTAAGGGGAGGCTCTGAGCCCTGTCTTCTCATTCTTAATTGCATCAAAATCAGATGCTTAAGCAATCATTTGAACAGGTTGGTCTAGACGAAACTCTGTTCGAATCTCGGCCGACACATCTACTCCGAATGAGGTTTATCGTGATTTTCCTAAGTCCCTAAGACAGATGTCGGAATAGTACCTCAGTAGGCCACGACCGCTTCCCTCGAAATCCATTCCAATTCATCGCTCATCTTTCGTGTCATCCGATGCTTCATAGTTTCAATAATGATGGTGTCGTTAAATAACCAACCGTAAGTCCCTATAACAGGCCGTGGGGGCCCATAAAGTTGAGATGTTGAGGTTCCTACATTTTCTAGACAATCGGCTCGTAGATGGCGGTAAGTTTGTCAGCCTTACGAGCCAGCCGCCCTTTACCCCCAAGAAAATTCCTGGTACTCGTTCCTGTTAGAGGCTCATTCGGCCCCAGGGTCATAGTGCGGCTGGGGGATTAGGTAAATTGAAAAAATCCACCTCATCGGGATTCGATCCCGCGACCTTGCGGCTTGTAGCATTATGCCTCAACCAACTACGATACCGCGTGCCCTTGTACGTATTTAACTTTATGCACACATTCAGGTTCTGTAAAAAGCTGGCAATTTCTTGACTATTTCAGCGACTGATCGCTACCCTTGAAGGGCTGTGTTCCGTGGAGTTTGGTAGTACAAATTCTCGATAACTGATGGCTTTTAGTGGAGATGAAACACTGTAAATATTGTGTAACGGAATGAAGTTAAATATAGAAGTCGCCCATTCATGTAAAACAATATAAGATATTCTGGATAGTAGGCCTCCCTGAAAGATATTTTAGGAAGAAACAGCATAAGATCGAGACTGTCGGCAGATATGAAACAAGATTTTGGAACAAATCGCATAAATCCGGGATGTGACATCGTATAGTGTGGTAAAGATAACGGCATCAGGTTTCTGCGAAAAAAAAAATTATCACAGCGCCATATTGTGTATGAAACAGTTTTTGTTATTTGGCACCGTCAACACAAATTTTTCTGCGAAGAGCTAGCATCATTTAACGGACTACACGGCGTCACACCCCAGACGGCGACCGTTGTCTTTTTAATTACCGCAATGAGAAGCTCAAGTCTTACATGTTTTAAAGAAGATTGCGGTACATATCACTGGAAAACGGGGCGTCCTAAAACAAGGTTTTTGGACAAGCCTTATAAATCCAGGAAATATAGTTTAGGGGAACAATCATAAATTAGGAAAAGTAGGCCATGTTGAAATGAGTTTTTCGGCCACACGCAGGTCCGCTTTATCCAGTGGACAAGTATGTAGTACAAAGCAAGCAAATAGACCTCCAGGACCCCCACCGCGCGAGTGTTGCTACCACATCCTGTGGTGTAACCTCTTCCTGCGTTTTGCTATTGTTAATGTAAATTCCGTAATTGTCTTCATGGAGCGATGCTGAATTAATTAAGCACAGGAAAATTTTACCTTTACCTTTATCTTGCTTGTATTAAACTATAAGGTCTTTTATTTAAGAAGTTTCGAGAGAGAACCCAGAATTATAAAACACCTTAAAGCAGCCGTTGGCACACCACTGCCTCGGAAACCCGGGGACGTCTAGTTAACATGCCGCAGTTTATGTGTTACTGTTCTCTCTTCCAACATATAGAGTGTCCGGATGAAAGGTATCCAAAATAAAAAAAAATGTTTTATTTCAGAAACTAATTGTCATACACGTATCCGGTTTATGTCATCGGTAAGGAAAACTGAAAGTTTTTTTTTTCAAACCCGGCTTAGGCGCATACTCCGCCACATTTTTGCCACCATGTTAGGAATCACCTGGAGAGAGAGAGATGGTATATGAATTGGCAGATGTGGACCAATCGCTTGGCCTCCTAGGTCACCAGATTTAACCCAGTAGATTTTTTCTTGTGCGATTATGTGAAGAACATTGTCTACCAGGTTAAGATCAACGAGCTGCAACAACTGAAAGCCCGCATAAGGGACGCTGTGACTACGGTAACACCAAACATCCTCCATGCCTGGATATTTGTCGTGCCACAAAGGGAGCCCACATTTAAAATTATTGAGAAAGTTATATACGCAAAAAAATAACTTTGATAGTTTCCCTTTATAAAGGTGTAATCCATTAATGTGTATAAAGATTCCTTCTGAGATATAATGATTTTATTTTTGATACCTTTCATCCGGACACCCTGTATTGCTTTATCATACATAGTGTTTAAGTAGGATGACGGACGCCGAATATGACACTTACCGGAAGCGTGAGTACTCGACGCTAGTTTCGGAAATGCATGCAGAAGGCTTGCCAACCAAGCCACTGATAGCACTGAAAATGACAAATTGACTGTCATCACGTGACCTGCTGCACATTACATAAGTTTTCTTCCATTCACCATCCATTCGCCTGTTGCCAACTTGTACTTGACGGGGACATGTAGAGTAGGATACGTAAACATGGCGACTGCTTGCAGCAGTGAAGGCCACAAACTCTGCACCCAGTGAGCAATAACAGGTACAGCAGCAGAACTGCGAGACGTAACTTTAACCTTGTAAAGCAAAGTAGTTACTATATGCGCCATCTACTTTAGCGTTAAAGGAGCCGGGGTAGCGTAGTCGGTATAGCTGGACGACTGAGGGGTAGGAGTTGAGTCCCGGTAGTGTCAAGAATTTTATCTTCTCCATGTCGTCCAGACAGGCTCTGGGGTAAACCCAACCTCCTATCCAATTGATATCGGTGGCTCTTTCCCTGGGGGTAAAGCGACAGGGACGTGAAGCTGACCACTCACCTCCAGCTAGTGCCGAAGTCAAGAAAATGTGGATCTATCATCCACTCCTCCATACCCCTTCATTACATAGTGGTTAATTCGCTGTGCACAGAGACAACTTTCCCCTTTTACTTTAACGTTAAGACACTCTGAATTTTGCCTGTACAACGTGTTTAAGTGCTTTTGCACTATTCTCCCCGTGCACGGCTTCTTTTTCCGTGCCGTAGCACAGACAGTTAGAAATGGCTTCACACCATTGAGTCTTGGGTTCATTCTCGTGCTACTTGTGTGTACCTCTTCTGATGGACGACGTGTCACTGAAGCAGATTTTCCAAGTTTCTTAGGTTATCCCTAANCTAGGTGTGCAGACCAGAAGGGGTCCGTGTATTTGGTCATGAAAACCTCCCAGTGGAAAGTTCGAGATGGCTAAGAACGTGGTTTCTGGAAGCAGTCAGTGAGTGGAAGCCGAGGAGTGNTTCTTAGGTTATCCCTAAAAATCGTCATTCCACTAGCATCCTTACTTTATCAGTGCCTCATGAAGTGTACAGTTCCCTTGACCAGATAGCACATGTCATATATTCCGTCTTTAACTTTGAGGTTTGCTGCTTACGGACTTAATCTCTCGATTCAGCATTAAGCGGCCGCCTCTGTGGTCTAGTGGTCAGACTTCCTGGCTACAGATCCAGAGATCCCGGATTCGATTCCAGGCGCTACCACATTTTCTGAGAAGTAGTGGGTCTGAAACGGGGTTCACGCAACCTCGTGAGGGTAATTGAGGAGCTATTGCAAGGAAATAGCGGCTCCGGTCTAGAAAACCGAGATTGGCGGCCGTGGGGATCCGTTGCGCTGACAATGCGACACCCTCTATCTCCTGAAGTTGGCACTAACTTCGCCGACAAGCGACGATCGCTCGGTCGGTATAGTTCGCTTGCAGACTACAGGCCATGGAGTTTTTTTTTCAGCATTAAGCAAACGGTTGATCTTCATAATGGAGACGCAGTTTTCTGAAGGTGGGAACTAAATATTTCAGTATTATTTAGACGGACTTCAGGATGACGACGGTTAAGTGGCGTTGTACCATCTGCAGTACTTACACGGTAGACAGGAATGAGGAGTGGCAGTTTGTTTATGAATGTCGGTAGAAGTGATCATGGTATATGTAGACACACGGAAGTTCCCTAGAACTACTAAGAAAATCCCCGAAAACATAGTCTTGCGGCAAGATTTTAACCACGGACCTCCCGAGTGTGGTTGGCCGCGGTAGGGTAGTTGGTTGAGGCGCTATGCTACAAGCCGGAAGGTCGCGAGTTCGAATCCCGATCAGGTAATTGGATTTTTCTGTTGACCTAATCTTTCCAGTCTCACTATGGCCCTGGGGTCGACTCAGCCTCTGACAGAAATGAGTACCAGGAATCTTTCTGGGGAGTAAAGGGCGGCCGGAGCGTAAGGTTGACAACTTTACCGCCATCGGTGAGTCGATTGTCTGGAACACGTGGAAGCCTCGACGTCTCACAACCCCATGGGCCTCCATGGCCTGTTACAGGGATAGCTTTACCGTTTTACCTGTTGTTACCACCCCAGTACGAAACAGAAGAGCCGAACGCAAGGCCGTATGCAGAATGTGATTTCTCTTTCGTGTTCGAGATATCGCAGTCTCGATTCTTGGTTCTGTGGCAGGCTGTCATTGCTGGGCTTCCCCTGCTTTTCCCTCAGTCCATTCAGGCAAATGCTTGGTTAGAGGGCCTAACTTTAAATATCAAGCAACCATCTCCTTTCGCATTCTTTCATTGTTGTCGTACCATTCGATACTACATGACCGATGCATCTTGAGAACAGTCGTTAAAATAGCCAAGAAGCAGTAACTTAAAACTTTCAACCCTTTAATCCTAATTCAAAATTACATTGCTATATGTTTGTATTGCTTTATTTATGGTTTCTTTAACGACGTCAGTAGCTCAGACCACCGTATAGCGTTGCATGGTAGGGTGCCTGGAACTGTAAAGAATATAGAAGTGTAATTTTAGGTACTCCTGGGGGGGTGGGGGAGGGTTGATTAAAACAGCGAAATGCTCCAGTTACGACAGCCACTCTTCGGACCGAGATCTGAAACCGTGACCTCCCAGTATGAAGCAGGACTGTTA